CTCGGGTGACCGGAAACTGGGATTTACGTTCACGGAGCATTCTCTGTTCACCACCTATAGAATGTCATCACGTATCAGTTCCATATTCCTAGCTCCGGCTCTCAAACCAGGGCAGCTGCGGGTGCCACCTGAATTTCAGGTTGGATCGTCACAACCGCCCCTCTGCACCCTGGTCTTTCACTGACAGAATTGCTTCCGAAATGACAGACCATGGATAGACATCGTGAACGCAGACGCCCTGGACGTAAGAGCACCCCGGATCGCAGAATTTTCAAAAGACTGCCAAAATTCGAGACCTTTCTTCGTCCCCACAATATCCAAGAAATTCCTACTGTCGTATCTTATTTGTTCTGGAAGCCTCTGCCAGCAACGCAACCGAATCGCCAGACATTCGGCAAAATGCCTTCAAACACAGACTCCCAACTTCCGCAGTCGTCTTTGCCAGCGCCCCCGCCGGCGAGCACTCCACCAGGAGACGTCCCGCAATTGCACCGTCCTTCGCGGATCAGCGCGCCAAATGGCGGCGCATCCAATGACGACCCGCCAGCGATTGACAAGCAAGTAATGGACATGCCCGTCAGTCCACGCGGTGAGACGGCTCAAGATAATGGTGAAACGGCTCAAAATAATGGCGCCTCTACTAAGCGCCTTCAGGTGGTAAACCTACTGCGTGGGTCCATCGCTAACTCGGACCGACCCTTCAACGCGCGCAACGCTGCGCAGAACGTGTTGTTAACGTGGCTAGCTAAGTCCACATTCCTCACGGAGTTGGACGAGACTGATACCAAGGCTCGCGCCATTACCGCCGCCACTACTTCGGCAGCTAGTCAAGTCCCTCCAGTTAAAATCAATTCGCCTCCGAGCTACTCGCCTTGCTTCACCACGTAATTCGTCGGTGTGCCTGCCTGCCTTTGAAGTCGATCGTCTGGGCGCCGTGCTCCTACGCGCCGGTTATGGCGGCCTCGACAATCTCGTCAAGATTGTGCACCTGAGCGACCAGGTTGGGTCCGACCTGTCGAAGTTGCTTAGCGAGGACCAAGATATCCGACGTGAGTTGTTGTTGCCTCGGGATGCGTCAGTCGAGCTGAGCCCGAGTGCCTCCGGAATTTGGTTACTAGCATTCCAGCACAACGCGAGTTGGCAGCACTCTTGCGGGTGTACGAGCCTCAGGGTCTGGCTCGTAGAGTATTCGAGATGTCCACGCTCCTGAAGCGCATGTTAGACAAGCATCGCGTCTCTCTGATTTCTTGCACGCTGGGCACCTCCAAGACTACACTCAAATTTGGCAATTCTTCGGACGAGGCTCGCTGTGCACGTCAAGAGTTTGCGGTCCTAGAGAAAGCTTTTAACCAACAAGTGGTTGAGATTTTGGAGTAGGCACAAAGTCGGCTCTCCGAAAGTGACCGTGATTTTCAGCATGCCGCAGAAGAGTACAACCGCCAAGAACAAGTTCTTCGAGACGGGAACGCCGAGTTACAACGCCAGATTGAAGACTACCGCTTGGTTAATCGGCAACTTGAAGATCCACTCCGAGGTGGAACATTCAAGGATCGGTCGCGTGATGAACTTCCTGAACCGCCATAACGCTCGGGTTAGCGGCAATAGGCCACGCCTGAAGGCATTGCTGGAGAAATTCAAAGATGGATCACTTCCACCCGACACCTGAGAAACACAAATTCAACTCAATGCGGCTGACGAGTTCGACGCCGACCCGGGCGTTTACGAGTACGAACGGAGTGTGACGATGAGGAATCCAAGGTTCCTGAGGTACCCAAGCCTGAAGGTTTCCACGGTGGACCTCACGGAACCATCCTCTACTGAGTCTACCCCAGCCAAGTTTCAACGCAAGTTGTTCGGCGGTCTAAGCTCAAGGCTCTCACGGATTTCCAGCTTCGGCCCAGCACTTACACCCGAGCGCGACTGACACCTTGGATCCCACGACAGCCAAAGAGCTCTCCGTCACCAAGGCACACGATAGCCTGACTCACCCTGTCTTTTGGGATAAGCTTTGTGCAGATACCAAGGAGCTCATGCGATCGCACATGTCTTACGATGAGGCTCTTGCTGCTGCTCGGACCGATGCTGAGATTCACTCTCACCTGGATGTTCGACATCTCGTCTACATGTTGTTGCCTCCTTGGGTCAAGTACATTCCCTGTTGGTGTTACAAGGAGGCTGAGTCCAAGCTTTACAAGACCCTCACTTCAGGTGAGGTTCTAACTCGCTGGCCTAATTAGCGTAAGGATATCGAGGATGACGCTGTGAAAATTATGGCAGCACTTTATGACAGTGTTATGGAAGGAGATGATGATGAAGGGCGCGATGCAACCTTCTCTCCAGCTGAAGACAATCAGAACAAACCTTAGTGTCGTACTACCCCTCCTCGACAGGAGAAGCATGTTCGTGATACTACTTCGGATTCGTCATCCCAGAACAAACCCAAGCGGCGTCGTCTCCACCCAAGAAACGCGCCAAGTCAGGCAACGGCAAGAAGGCGCGTCCAGGACAAGAGCGAAAGCAAATGGCTCTGGCACGCAAAAGTTACGAGTCCCTGAGCGACTTGGAGAAATGGATCGTCGAAGTATCTGGTCGTGGCATCCTTTCGTGGCGTCATCACGGTGTATTGATGAAGTTTCCTCCTGGCACGGCTAATGCTGTGACGCAGTCATTCGGGTTCCCGGACTACGCTCCAAATTTGGTCAAGAACGAGGACGTTAAAGCATTACGCCAGCACTGGGACCCAGTCGTATTCAATGAGCTTATGGACACGAAACCTTGGGACGTCATGTTCGAAGATCGTTCCAAGTTTCTGATTCTTCACGTGCGTGAGGACCTGAGTGGCGTTGCTCGCGAGTCCCTGGATGGCATTCATGTCTGTACATCGTCGTGCGATGGTTCGGACACTGAGTATTCATCGATTTGGAGACCGATGATCCTTACTCTATGGAACTTCACCGCGAACGCAAGGCCGAGTGTGGCAAGGCCAAGAACGAAGGCAAGAAACCCCTGAATGATCGTGTCGATGCCAGTCTTGAGGAAACGATTCTGGATGAGCCCGGTTCTTGGACCATCCCTGCCAAATGCTGTCACTGGAAACTGTTGCATGAGTCGCACGTCAAGGACGATGGCACTCGCTATACACTGAATGAGCAGATGGAGCTCCTGGATGACCAAGAGCCAGCACGTGTCCAGTGGAACACTTGACCCTCTGTTAAGGACCGAACCAAGCATCTCCCGGAGGACTACCCATTGAAACCCCTGAAAGGTTCACATCGCCAGTCGCAGAAGAACCGCATCACCCTGGATTTCGACTAATTGACTCTCCCAGATCTATTTTGAGTATTATATGTCACAGCAAAAGCGTTAACATCCAGAATACAACTGTCATTCTCATATACCATGTTCATTGTCTTATGTGTCCATCAAACCACAGCCGATGCTTTTCACACCGTCCTCATATCCATCATCTCCAAATCACACCTCACATTCAACACTCTTAGTCGTCACGTAAATTCCGCATTCGGCATCCCGAATATCTCTACAATATTTCTCACGAATGAAACAAAATCTAAATCTGTTCACATATTTTCACGGTCTAGTGTCGTTCAGGTAATGTCATTCGGGTTGACTACACTCTCGGGTGGTCATCCCCGGCTGCATCGCCTGAAAACGAGCTCGTGCTCGCGTCCCTTTGTTGAATTCCCACAACAGTGATCCACAATTGAGCTGTGACGCCGGAATCTACTCTAGGTCATCATACCCCTTCCACTTGACGAGATATTCTCGAGGTCGCCTCGCTGTTCGGGTGCGTTTCACCCATCGTACATCCTGAATTGATTCCACTTCTAACCCATCATTCGAGCTATCCGGCTCCCAACTGACCTCAGGCAATAGCGCCGCAACGGAATCATCATCTGCGACGTCAACCTCGACTGTCGGTCTCTTTGGGAAAACTAATCTCGGTTTGAGTTGGCTAATGTGTACCCAAGGGTTAAACGGTAACCCGTGTCTTTCACCTTCAGTCTCATGCGAAAATCATCCCAAACTTCATCGCCCCTGAATGGCCCATGCCACATGTGTGCTAGCTTCCGACTCAATCCAGTCTGGACTTTCGGGATGTACAACCGCCCTTCTTAAGAGTTCCAACCACTTTCGGGTTTGTTCGTCCGAACGCATCTTCTAGGCTTTCTTCTGGAGATCCCCAGCGCAAGCAAGTGCGTAGCTGTATTCCCGCTGCAGCTTCCGTCGCCACTCATATGCGCTGCGTTCAGGAACGCTTGAAGGTTTTTGGTCCTAGCATCGCTGAAACCGTACTTCGGGCATCCCAACAATGAACCCAATAGAAAGGGTGTCCAGTCTAGTCGTGTCGAACGAGACATTCCGGGCGAACACCAGTCGCTCAGCGTGATCATCCTAGTCGGACTGATCCATCTCGGCGACGTGTGCTCGAACACTCCGAATGACCGTTTGTACAGATCTCTCCTGCTGCACATTCGCTTGTGGGCGGTATCCGAGTATAGCACGTTGTCGCCTACCTAAGAGTTCTCGGAACCTTGTGAACACTTCACTCATGAACCGCGGGTCCTGATCGTGCCGTATCATGGAAGACGCCCCGAATCTCTGGAACACTTGTTCCTCATAAGCCTTAGCGACATCTTGAGCGATAGTAGCCGATATGGATTTACACATCACATACCCTGAAAACATATATTGAAACAGCAGAACGATAGTGTTCCCTCTGGCCGACTCTGGCATGTGAGTCACGAAAACTATAGAAACTGCCTCAAATGGGTACCGTGGTTCAATATTCCCTGGCGAAGGTCCAGCATTAGGGAGGCCTCCTTTTCCACTGGACATTCCTTCACAAAATGTTGGACGTCCGTGTACATACCGGGCCAGTAGAATTCGGTACGTAGCTTCTCATGAGTCCGGCTTATCCCATGATGTCTACCTTGAAAATCTTCATGCGCATGGTGCAACATGTCTTCCCGAAGTGAACTTGGGACAACCAATCTCAGATTATCCACAACGTCTCGTCGGCTTCCGCGAATAGAGTGTGGAAGTCTATACAATATTCCTCTATCATCCAGAACGAACAGATCTGTGACCTTACTGATCTTCTTCAGACATGTGGATGGGAATCCTTCCAGTCGTCCTTCAGGAACGCCCTAATCTCTGCAAGATACTCATCCTTCTCTTGATGAACCTTGACCCGTCTCCAGCGTTCGGCCTGAATTCTACTGGTCCCATGGGTGGAACCTCGTCGCCATCAACTTCTTGAGTTCGCGATCTTGTGAGTACAGCCATGCCTCGGGCAGCAGAAGATAGAGGTTCACAATCAGGACCAGGACCATGTCTCGTTCCTGAATCGCCATCTTCTTCACCAGAGTCTTGTATAGGGTGTCCACTGTGAACTCGGGTGTCAGTGCCTTCCGACGGCTTCACGAACCATTCGCGAATCTTAGACGCTACTTCCAGGTGTCGTTTCTCGAGGTCATCCTGAACAGTCCAGGATTCACCTTGGGCAAGAGTTTTCGAGGTCAGGTAATCGGCGGCCTGGTTGAACTTGCGCTTCATGTGTACCAATCGGATCGTCTGGAAACGCTTCTTCAGAGTTTCACATTCAGCTAGCCTCCTTTGGAGATTAGGCTGGATACGATTAATCAGACCTTAGACTTGTTGAATCACAATTCTCGAGTCACCCACAACAACTGTGTCCTGAATCCCTCTTTCTAAAGCCATTGCAAACCCTTTAAGCATCCGAAGTATTCCGCGTCGTTGACGATGACTCCGTCCAGGATGTATCCTCGAGCATCCAAAACTTTTCATTCAGGTAGCTGCCATAGAATGCATCCGCAGCTGCCCTTTCTCGTGGAAGTTTTGGCCGCACCATCGAGATTCAGGACTACCCCGGTGTACTCTATTGATAGCATTTCGACACTCACGACAGGAGGCGGTTTGCCTTTTACGATTTTCGGGGTGGCACGTATCCCTTCAGCGCCAATCTCGTGAGAAAGGTATGGTATGACACGCTTCCCGAACTCGCTCTTGGGCAAGCTAACTGAGACACTCCATTACCGTAACCGATAGAGAAATGTACCTAGATCACCGCATAGTAGATCCCACGTGGCCCCCCATGCGCGATGTCATCAATATACGAACTGCGCCCCAAGACGGGCCCCATTTGGGATGGTGCAAGGATATTGCGTCTGAAAACCGTCATTTGCTCCACTAGCAGTGTCATACCGCGTTCCACATCCATTTCATCCCTCGGCGACTGAATGCCCAACTTCAAGTAGTCCAGCACGTCCTGATCCACAAGTGCTTGTTCTTCGGGTGGTAGCTCCACAAATCCCACAGGCAATTGTTGATCATCTGTTGGTAAATTAGTGGGGCGTTTTTCAACCCGAATGGTATACGTACCCATTGGAAATGCCCGAATAGTCAGGTGAATGCCGAGATCAGTTTAGCCCTCTCAGTCATTCGGACTGTCCAGAAGCCACTCGCCATATCAAGACTCATGAACCACATCATTCCTTCAAAACCAGTAATGAGATCGTCGATCAGTGACAGCGGGTAATTCGACAACTGAATGAAGCTGTTCACGACTTGATAGTCGATGCACATTCGAACGTCCACTCCATTCTTCTTGAGTACGATCACAATTGGGGATGCCCATGGCGATTCAGAGTGTTCAATCAGTGTAGCTTCCAGAAGCTTCTTCAATAACTTGTATACCTTGATTGCCAAAGGCGGACCGACCGATCGGGGTCGTTGTGCTATTGGATTGGCGTCCCCCAAGTAAAAATCGCAAATGACGCCGCTCGCCGGAGGCGGGGCAGCATTTCCATCACCTAAGAAGATCTTCTGGTGTCTTTTCAGGACGGCCTTCAGCTGCTTCTCCTGAGCTTCCGTGCTCTCGCCAGGTTTTCCAATGTCAGCAGCCTCGATATCACATTCAGGAGAGCGATCGTCTAGGTCGGGTAGCATAACCAGCTGATCCTTCAACTCAGACATAAGCTCGCTCCCTTCACGAATGTAAACCGCTGGTTCTAAATCGAGTTCCTCAGCGCTCCCTCGCATGCACCTGGCATACGCTGCATCAAGTCTTGCGAGCGGTGTTCCGGGTACGGCAGAAGAAGGTAACTCGAAACCCTCGTCTTCTATACTCGGGTAACCCTGGAATGCGTCGCATTCCGATCCCTGAGCCATCTCATCTAAGACTTCTCCACAGGATCCAGAATTAACAATCTCCCCGCCATCCTGGGCGTTGACATCCAGGGTGCCAGATTCAGGCGAAGCTTCGACAGTCATGAGTGGACCAATCACGCTCGGGGAATACTCCCCAAACGTAGCATCCTCAGCCGATTCCACGCCATCGATGTCCCTTTGCAGTTCAACTCTTCCACAACCTTCGTAACCTGGGCTCGCTCGGGTTCCCTTGGCCTCACTAGAAACTTCGTTGGCCATTTGTATTTGGGGACAATGACTGCAGGCGGAGCCGCATCCTGAATAATCTGTTCATACCCTTCCTGACGCACCCTTGCCTTCGCGGAGAATGTGTTCTCCTGAATAATCTGTTGCCAATCCATATACCTTCGTAACCCAGGGCGTACGAACTGTCCAACTATGGGGATGTTCCCATACTCCGCAATCCGTGCAACAGGTGTCCTAGGCTCGATCCAACAATCTCGGTCCGAAACGTTGACTACTTTTATCGCTATGGCCCACGATCGGTCGCCGTAAACAATCTGGGTGAACCATTGGCCCCCTCGTCCTGCCCATACAACATCTTGGAGCGGGCGACACTGTCCATATCGGATGGCCACATTTGTTCTCTGGGTCGCAGATGCAATCCTCGAAGGGGGCAGACTAGGATATCCCGGTATATACGTCTTCGTACAGTATACCCGTACATCAAAATCGATTCTTCATCCGGAAGACCTACCATTCCTTCACGAATACCTAGACGTACCCCAGCACTGAACATGAAATCCATTCCTAAGAGTACGTCCACTCCTTCTCCGATGTTCGTCACCCAGACGTCCATAACATACACGACTCGCCATCCCAAAGTGATCTTGATCTGTGCACTCGAGGTGATATAACTCGGGACGCCACCTAATCCTGACACCTTGATCCGCTTCTGTGAGTTTAACTTGATCTTGAGCCTACGCGCAAGGTCCAAACTGATCATACTCACAGTCGCTCCGGTGTCAAGTAATTTCTGCGTCCTGAAATTGTTCACTGCTCCATGAACCGTAGCACACTGATGTCTTTCCACTTCACGATCATACTCGACACCACCAACCATACCGCTCCCTGGGGTCTAACTTGAATTCAGGTTTACCTTCGGGTTCTGGAGGCTATGGCGGTCCTGAAATACTTTGTCGAATATCCAGATTATCATGAATCATGTAGGTCAAACATTGTGGGTTATCTTGGTTCCTGGTCCTCAATTCGGGGCCGACATACGCTAACACACACAATTCTGAGGGTTCTCTCAGCCCGACGCGTACCGAATCCCCATTCGGCGGGCTTAGTGGGTTAACCGCTCTTCCTCAGAATCGCCCTTGCCATTCAGGATGTCTTCCCGAACATGGCTAGGCAGGTCAGCTAGGCCTCCTTGAAGAACGGGTTTCTTGAACTCTTGGAAAGCCTTCCACTCGTCACAATGTCCATCGTGATATTCTTCACACTTCGGGCACGACTTAGTCATACAACTACGTGATGGGTGTCCACGTCTGTAGCATTGTCCACATACCATGTCAGTCCAGTACCTCTCCAGGCGATGTCCAAACTTCTTGCATTTCTCACAAAATTCCAATCGATTCTGGTTGTTGTAAGGCTGGCATCCCTGAAACGCAGCTGGCTGCGCAGGCGGCGGCACCGGTGGTCTTGGATTAACACTGGAACCACTTCTGGCATTCGGGTTCGCCGGCTTCCATCCCACATTGTTCATGATGCGATAAACCTCGTGAATTTTGATCTTCCCTGCTCTGGAGCGTTCTATTCGGGTTGTCCAAAATCTGGGCATCCTGAATCACGGTGGACAGTTCTTGGAAGACAGCATCCTTTTCGTCCACGTCTTGCTCAATCTGGACTGACTGCTCGACGTCCACATCTTCATCATCCTGAGCAACGTAAGCTCGGTTCTAATTCCGCTGTCGCATTCCACCTCGGGCGACGTTGTCCGCTCTGAAGTTATGATTGGGAGGCGGCTGGGTGGAATAGCTTCCGCTCGCGTTCACTTCTTCTTGTTGCTTCAGAACGTACTCCAGGTCGGACACTTTGCAGAATCTTTGACTTTGCAATGTCGACCTGAGCGACGTGTCCGTCAGGTTTTTGATGAACCGCTTGATGTGTTGTTCACGTCGACGTTCAGACGTCCTGAATTTCACATCCGCCCGATCAGCAGCTAAGTTCAGGCGAAACAGGAACACCAGAGCTGTTTCATCCTTGTACTGCTTGATCGTATAGTACTTCTCCGAATCAGACCCCGAGACTTGCAATACTCGCGCTTGAACTCTCGAGCCAGGCGTCCCCAATTCGTGCGCACACGTTTCCCTAGCTGGCTCATCCAGTTTCGGGCCGCGGGCGACATCTTCGTCTTGAATTCGTATATCTTCATCTGATCCGTCGAACCAGCCTGGATGGTCATGTTCAGGACCTTCTCCCACCATCGGCGTCGTGCCGTGAGGGACTGCTTCTCGTCGAAGTCGTCCAATGCGTTGGTGAACGTCCTAAGAGTGAGCATATTCCTACCTTTAGTATTGATAACCATGGTCGTGTAGGGTGGCATGTCGTCCGACGAACTGTCGGAGTCACTTGAGCTATCGTCTTCTTCGCTAGACTCGCCACTCGAGCTAGGTTCTGAGGGATCTTCATCCTAACGTGAAGGCTTCTTGCGTAGTTCCTTCTTAGGCGGCTCCTTATCTTCCGACCTCGCAACCCCCGTCGATTTTGCTTCCGTCTGTCGTGACTTCACTCGGGAGCCGCTCGTCTTTGCGATCCTGGATCCTTGTTTCTCTTTCAACCGGACATCTCCCTTCTCATACTTTGTTTCAGTCAGACTCGGGAGAGTCAGTTGGAGCTGAGCCGCAAAGGCACTGTCGCCAGATGTGTCCTGTCTATGTACCACGCCATCCTTGATCGCGTTACCTGATCGTGGGTACGCTGGCGAATGGACACCTTGAACTTCCGTCGATGTTGCACGAATGTTACTTGAAACTATTCCACGAATATTCTTCGAGCTTCGATTAACCCTCTGATCCTGATTGCACGCCTCCTTCAAGGAGGTGATCTCCTCTTGCAAACGGTGTATCTAAGCACTCATCACGGATTCCCCTGGTCATTCAGACTCTTCAGCAAGTTGGTTGCCCAAGCCGCTTTCGCCTTCTCGGCCTCCGCTTCGCGTCACTGCCAGCACTATTCGAACTAGGTTCCCGCGGCCTTCAGCGCGCGGACGACCTCATGGCTTGTGACATCATTTGGTCTAGCTTCAGCGGGTCCTCTTGAGACATGAACTGAGGCAGTTGGCGCTTCAACATTCGGAACGGTTACACCCTTGACGACCCCAGGGCGAGCCGCCAACATCTGGATCACCTGGAAAGCTTGGTCGACATGCTGATTGAGGTGGACCTGAGTGGTGTCTTGTTTCGATTCCATCCGAGCCAACATGTCTTGCGTCGATCTCATCGCGTTCAATGCAACCTGAGACGCCCCTGACGTCGCTGAGTGGCGCGACCTTCCTGAGCGGCTTGTCATCTCTGACTTGATCGACCGACTTGGCGACCGCCTGGATGAACGTCTTGAACGCTTTGAGTGCCGACGTTTCCGAGCAGCATCACTGGAATCCGATTCCCTCGGGGAATCGTCACTTGGGTTGATCCACGTCTGTAAGTATACTTCCGGGATGTCCTCGACCTGTTGCCACTCCGAATGAAGGCCCGCCCTGACTCCGACATAACGACATCGTCAAGGTTAGCTGGTATTGACGGCACCGGGAGGACAGCTTCAGTTACTTGAACACCCAGGCTACTTTCAGGTTGGATGACGTCTCCCTGAGCTGCAAATACCATTCCGGCTGGGATGGCATGCGCGAACTGCATATGCTGCGCGGCGCCTCCCGTCATAGACCATCTCGAGGACGCCGGGGATAAACCATTCCCAGATGACCGGAATTCGAGCGTTCCAGAGAGATTCGACTCATCCAAACCCGTTGGCGTAGCTCCAAACATCGTTGATCCATAGTCCGAACTTGGCGTCGGAGATCCACTTCGGGTTGCCGACGGGTAGCCATGCTCCGGTCATCCTGAGTTGACGTCCGGTTGGACATCAGCGAACTCATTGACGGAATGGGCGACGGCCGTGGAGGTGCGTATTGCTGGCGTTTCGATTCAGGTTCTCCAAGTGATGAACTCGCAGGACTGCGATGCACTCGGACTCCAGCTTCCCTCCAGCGTGTAACACGCTCACTTCCAAGTAGCTTCGCCTCGTAACTCGACATCAATGAATCACCTTCAGCATCCTCCGGTTTCATCTACTCCAAATGATCGTTCAGGTTGCGTGCATCAAAAGGAGACACGACTCGACATTGTACTCCCGAAATGACTTGCTGCCACTCCAGGAGCTCTACAGCCAAGAGGTGCTGCAACTCCCTTGCCACACTTCGCATCGTATCAACTTCAGCTTTGGGTGCGCACACTCGGAACCATTCTGAAACCAGGTTACGGAACTTGAATCCAACCTCAAAGAACATCGTCTGCAAGACTGCGGCGCACTCTCGCACGGATAGCTCGTTGAAGGGCACCGTCACCGACGTGAAATCTGTAGCCATGTTTGGCGCCAATCTGATGAGTCTCCATTCTGAGATCCAAGTCTGTGCTCGGGCTCCCGATGGCATTCGCGACTCCAAATATTCCGACGTTGCCATGACAGGTCCATATGACGCCTGAAAGTTGGGTGCGGGATGAGGCCAGGCGTACTCGATCATTGGAGACATCACGAACTCCAAAGAGACTTGTTCCCATTGACGCACTGGATCACCCACGTACAGTTTCACCACATTCGGGGCAACCGGATTCTCAGACGCCCCAGCATCGTCCACGGCAGTCCGATCGACTGTTTCTTGGGTCGAGCTTGGAGCCTGTATCCGGGATGCTACCTACTCATTCGGCACTTGCGCGCACGAGTTCGAAGACACCGACGTCTCGAGCCTCGACTGTGAGACGTCACCCAGGATGTCCGACGTGGCATCCTCCTTGACGGTGGACAGCGGACCTTTCAGCTTAATAGTGGCATCTGCCCGGAATCGTTTTCTCCTCCAGGCCGTCAACCTCGATCACATCATCACCCAGCTGAGACCTCTCCGAAGTTTAATCCACAGCTGGGGACTCAATCTTGACTGCGCCCCCCACCGGCACCTGCTCGGGCACGTCCGGACCAGACACACCCAAAAACCTCCACAC